AAAAAAAAAAAGTAAAAAACTCCACAATAAGCTTTATTATATTCCTTGAAATCGTTTATGAACATTAATTACAAAATATTTCTGACGAGTAAATGAAGAAATATGCATTGTGTACGGTCACCATCAACAAAATCACAGAGATAATATAGCACTATTTTCACATCTTTGAACTGATTTAACTCGATTTGGACTGTGTTTTTGATATAAGGCCCCATATATTTTTTTGTTTGTAATGTTATTCTGCATCAGTTTTTCCACATCCGATCAACTGCCGCGAAAAACTGAAAAGGCACCACGCTCCATACAAATTTGGTCATTGTCATTTTTACCGGTCTCTATCCATGCGATCTTGGGTCTAAAAGAAAACTATGAAGCTTGAGGCATATACCCAATGCACGGCTATAAACTCTCCGCCTAATACCACGGACTTAAATTAGAGACAAGTGAATGTTTAAATTATATACAAGGTGTTGTTTTAAAGCTGCATCATTTTCTAGAAGGTAACTCGGCTATGGATACTGAGTCCGAATCAATAAAAAAAATTGTAGGTAAATATTTTTAATTTTTCTGTAAATTACAGAAATCCGTAAGTGCGAACTACACGCAGCCGCCGTCTTGTAACTACTTTTATAACGCGGCTTAACACACACAAACTCAAACACGTAATTGATATTATTCGTAATTCCTCGCCTCAGTATAATGTGCATCAAGTTAGAGTTGAACGCATACAGAAACGTTTCCTAAGATACCTAACATTTGCCAGTGGGCTGCACAAAAGCTTGGTATCGTATAGCGAAAGACTGAGACATTTTAGGATGGACCGCTTGACTGTTCGTAGAAAACTGCTTGACATAACGTTCATGTACAAGGTACTAAGAAACGAGTTTGACTGTCCGCCACTATTAGGCTTGTTCAATTTGCGTGTACCTCGACGTGTGCCTAGGCGCGCACTAATTAATGCGGGTTTACTACATCAGCCATCTGCCAGAACCAACCTAAAGAGGTTCTCCACCATTTCTCGTCTTTCTAGAGCCTATAACTCTGTCTGTGAGAGGGTTGATTTGTTTAGTGATAGATTGCCAAAATTCAAAAAAGCTGTTCTGGGATTGTTGAGAGATGAAGCTTAGTGTTGTGGTGTGCTGTTGACTTGCTTTATTATGTTGCTGTTGACTTGATTTGTTCCGCAACCGATTTTATCTATTTATTTTAATGTTATTTTTTTGTTATTGAGCTTTTAATGACTGTGTCCTTTGTTTTGATCTTTGATTATTCTTTTGTTTTGTATTTATATTTTTGTATTCAGGGTTGACTATTGTATAATGAGTGATAACAAAAGTTGTTACTAATTATACAATTCTTATTTATTGTAAATTTGGTAATGTAGAGAAATTAGATAAATTTTAATTTAATTGATATAGTGTTCTCAACTCAACGCATGCTGTGATGTCCTTCAAATGTTGTGCATTAGCAGTAAGATGTTAATTCCTAATTTTAAGTTAATGATAAAAATGTAGCAACAACTGGATGTCCAAATAAATAAATAAATAAATAAATTCCATAAAACTCATATAAGAAACATTGCCGTCGCTTATTCTGAAATACTGTTGGCTACTATTGGCCCGAAACTTTCTCTTACATTGAACCTTTATGACTTCTGTGACATGCCCCCGAGAAATGCCACGGTTTTAAAACTACACCTTGTATACCTCTATATGACCTTCAGGGTATTACGGAATAGTCACAAATACGAGTAAGTACCTGATGCAGTAACCCAAAGGTTCCTATAAGGTTCAAACTCCTTCACAAGTTTGTTGAGATCCGCAAATGGTACTACAGGTTGACCAAAGAGTTTCTGCCGTTGATTGAGAATGCGACCCCAGTCCTGAGCATCCTTCATCGCCTTCCAAGCCTTCTTTATATCATTTGCTATCTCATGCACCTGGAGGAAGACACACAAAAGAACTTAACAATCGAATGACTCGATTATTTCTTTATCGACACATCGAATCGAATTAAACATATTTTTTTTTTTTAATAAACAGCAATATTCGATTTTTAAAGCATATGAAAAGTTTGATGGTAAGCAGTCAGCGTTGTGCGTGGTCACTCGCAAGATTAGAGAAATTGAATGTGTTACCGGCCTTTTCTATACCGGGATTGGGATCGGGCCCTGATGACGATGATTATGATGACGACCTACCTTAGAGAAGTCGTTTTGTAGAGTAAGTGTCATACACTGAGCGGTGAACATATCGATCTTATCATATAGAGTTTGTTCATCTTGTTGGTGGAGCTTCCAGAATTTCTCCTGTTCTTCCTCTAGGAAGAGTATCGTCTCGTCCACCTTTGGCATAAAAAATAATAATGAAATGATAGAAAAGTAAATATAACCAGAGGCCTTGGTACGAGTTTCTTTTACGTTGAAAGTAATCACGAGTAAGCGTTCGGCGCTGTGATTGGCCGGCTCCAATGAACCAACCAATCAGAGCGCCGGACGCCGTCTCGTTTCAATTACTATAAACGAACAAGAAACTCGTACTAAGGCCTCCGATTACTTTGTCCGTCTATTAAATTAACAATAAAATAGGTACTAAAGATTTGCTTAAAACAATAAGGCCCGATAAATGTTAACTGAGGAATAACTTTGAATATTTGATAATTCTTCCATACTAAAAACTGCCAAATGTCAATTTTAGTGTACAGGTAAGGATAGTAAAATAGGATATTCTACATTAAGGAAAAAAATATGTAAAATCGGCCATAGGGCCAAATTTTCAAATATCGATTAGAATACACGTTGTGTCGCGGTTCCCATTTCTAGACGAAAAAATTCTTTGTGTAATTCATTCATTGTAGTTCTGGGAGTATACCAAGATACAGGAGAAAATCCCACTTGTATAGGTTCACGTTTTTAAAAAGAAACATGAAGGTGTTTCTGACTCCTTGTTAAATTGAAAATAGAGCGTTTGGCGCATCTCGCTAGATGGTAAGCCATGGTGCGGTCATAAGGAACTTATTCACTCAGGGGTTAAATGATCCCTAAGGAATTAGTCTGCTTTTAAAAAAATCAAACAGATTATGACAAGTTTCATTTATTTGCAATTAAGAAATCTATGTTATATAATTTTGCAACTATGTAATAATAAACCAGACTAAAGCTCCAGGTATATGTTCACGACAGAATCAGGCAAGGAATATAATTTTCACTAGCAGACTGTTGTCGATTACCTGTTTAGTTATTTGTAGTGGCCACCCGACAGCTTCCCAAAGAGCCCTGAAGTCTTCGTTTTCCAGAGGCATGAAGAAATGTTCTAGTACTTCATAATCCTGACACATAAACAACAAATAAAAGTAGATATATCATTAACGGTACTTACCATCTTTGGTCTTACAAATGTAAAGAGAAATTCCATAAGGATGCTGTCAACCAGGGATGTTAGGGAGCTCCGTAAACGTAACCGAAACTATCGGATATCGATATGAAAAAATATACGTAATCGTAACCGAATCTGAAACCGAAATTGAATCGGGCAAAGATCTAATTGTCACCACGACAACCGAAGCAGCAAATGACCTCAGAGGCAAACTATCCTGCCGAATCGGAGGACTCGTCAAATCTAGGGTTCGAACAATGGCGTCCATCCTAGTAAACGGCTTGGGGGAGCGAGAGAGCTGCCATCGCCTAATGGTAGATGAGGCTCTCATGAACCACTTTGGAGCCGTTGTGATGGCCGCCCGAATAACTCGAGCCAAGGAAGTCCTTCTAATTGGTGACATAAATCAGCTTCCGTTTATAGATCGTGATAACCTCTTCCCTCTACTCTACAGCCGCCCTACATATATCACGCCCATAAGCCAGGAATTGATGTGTACCCACAGAAATCCAATGGATGTGGCGTATGCCCTCAGCACAGTTTACAGTGGCATATATTCGTCCAGGTCGTTCGTGAGATCCCTCGAGATAAAAAGGTTCTCGGGGGCGATGATTCCAAAGTCACTCCCCGACACTTTATACCTGGTACACACTCAGGCAGAGAAGGAATCCCTTAAGAACCAGGGATACGGGTCGACCGTGGGATCACGCGTGCTCACGATACACGAGGCACAGGGACTTTCGTGTGCGAATGTGATTGTTGTCAACACAGCAACAAAGAAACATCAAATACATGACAGCGTACCACACGCGGTAGTAGCAATATCGCGTCACACGCATGGTTGCATCTATTACACAGACAACAGTGAAGACGCGATAAGCAAACTAATCAGGAAGGCGGCTGATGAGGGTGAGCAAGGTATTAAGGACTACAACCTGAAAATGGCCATCAAACACAGGGACGCGGCAGTCGTGGGTGCTCTCTTGGGCGGGGAGTGTTGCTTGTGATGGAACGAATGCAACATGAGGAAATGTGTGTGCAGAAACATGTAGAAATAGAATATGACCAATTGAATTTTGGACTATTGTACGCTTTATTGGAATCGGCCCATGTGGCAAGGGTTGAGGCGTCATGCACACATAAATGTCCTACAGTCGGTGGCGCTGTGTGTTGGGTTGTTCCGTTCCCAATAAAAAGGTTGACCGGACCAATTGCTGACACACACGTCATACTCGTGAACGGGTGCCTTCTGCTGGGTCAGGTCGGCTCTCCCATCGTGTTGGTGGGCTGGTTTCATAAAGCCTTTGAAATAGAAATAAATAAATAGTGCCTAATTATTATGTAACCTATACTTTTGCTAATAATTATAGATGTAGTTAATTGTAGTATGTAACTAGGTTCCCTCTTTACTTTATAAATATTGACTAGATGTATTATAATTAAAAAACTGTATGACAAGGGCACGGACCTAGAGTCCGTGGAGAAAAAATATTTAATATTATAAAAAAAAAAACCGAATCTGAAATAAAAGTTTCGGATACTATCGGATAGGGGCGTGACGTATAAAATAAGTATACAGAGCGGATATGAATGGGGCCATCGGTAGAGGACGCCCTAGACAAACATATTGTGACCAGATTGGAGATATATTAAAGAAGGGCCAAATTAAAAGTAGCCTTAACCGACGAGCATGCATGTAAAGATTGATGACTGTTGATGAAGCGACAGAGTTATGTAGGTATCGTAGTAATTGGCGTTCCATAATCTTTGCCTACCCCCATGGGAGACAGACGTGAAGTTATGTATGTATGTATTTTATTTTAGAAATTCCTTAAAATTTTAATATCCGTAACCGAAATTATACGAAACTAACGGATAATCCGAAATAATTTCATATCCGTACCCGTAACCATATCCAGTATAATAATCATTTCTATATCCGTCATCATCATCAACAGCCTGTTTTTGTCCACTGCTGAACATAAGCCTCTCCAATGGCACGCCACTGAGCTCGGTCTTCAGCTCTACGCATCCAACCACTACCAGCCACTTTACGTATATCGTCACTCCACCTAGCTGGAAGGCGCCCTACACTACGTTTGCCTAGACGCGGTCTCCACTCCAGAACACTTCTACCCCATCGTTGATCGGTTCTTCGATTCGGTTCTGTATCCGTATCCAATCCATATCCAAAATTTCATATCCATAACATCCCAGCAGCTGTAGCCAAATGCCACTTAGCGCTTGTCTACATGTAGAATAGAAAACCAAATTATATGGAATTGACGTATATTTTGACACTTGTCAGTGTCATTCCCATACATTTTGATTTCTACTCTCTCTGTAGACAAGCGCTAAAGTGGCGTTTGGCTAGAGGCCCTGGTGTCAATCTATTTATACATGTATACTTTTTTTATTAACGACTTTTTAATTTGTGGTTAAGTATTAACTTGATTTACCTAGCGACTAACCTATATTACACGAAGCTGTTGTCAACTATCATCCACTACTATTTACACCACATGACCTCATTTAACCTATATAATGTATCTGTGACATTGTAAAAAAAGCACTTTTTTGAAACGAGTAACGATAGTTTATTGTTTGGTCTTTTCCATTCGAAACCAGGTACATTTTGGAACGAGCACTTAGCTTCGCTGATAGACAGACAGACAGACTTAATTTGGCGTTTCCAAAGTGCTTAAATAAGAATTAATAGAAATAAATACTTTGATTCAGCCATTAACATCATAATATAACAGCTGTAGAACGATTTGTCGTCGGCGGCATTTCCGAACAGATACGACCTTCAAACCTTCAAGAAAAGAGCGTATTCCTTAAAAGCTGGCAACGCACCTGTGACTCTTCTGTGTTGCGGGTGTCAATGGGCGGCGCTAATCGCTTACCATCAGGTGATCCGTCTGATCGTTTGCCTCCTAAATTATAATTATAAAAAAAATATTAGAAAGAACGTAAAATCTTACCGAGTGAACCTTCCTCATGATGTCGTCCTGAGTCTTTAAAGCAAACGGTATAGACTCCATCCATTCTCTAATCTCAAACACATGTTCAATAGTGTTCGGTTTCTCTCCCAACTTGCGCATGATGGTCTTGTACGCGGTAATGACGTCATCGACCACCAGTCGCACCTCCTCAGCCCACATTACTAGCAATGCCCTTATAATATCGGACCGTTTGGTAACCAGCATTTGCTAAAATATAATAAGTCATTTTTAGAGACCAAATATTAGTAATTTGTAAGTGTTGTTAAAGTGATAGTGTCTGTCCTCGTGGTGGTCCGGAGGTTTAACATTTCACATGGGTGCGGGTTTTTTTTAAGGGGGGAAAATCATCGAATGACTCCTCCCGTCTGGGTGAGGCGGGAGGGAGTGACAGACTGTTACTAACTAAAAACCACCCCGTTACTTCTCCTGCACGTCGAGCCGGAGCCCCGGTTACCCGTTAGGTTCTCCGCGACATGGGTGCGGGAATCAACAGTAAGTACCAATGTGACTTTTTCCGAATTATGTGCTTTCTAAGATTATTGTCAGTATGCATATGTGAGCACCATGCTACACTATAAGATTTTTTTGTTTTGTTTATTTTTTTTTTATTTTAGTAACTTTTGTAATCAGTATAATGCGTCAAGCGTGTCTTTGCATTGTTCCCACATATTCGAACAGTATTGGAATATGGATAGATATGGATCAGAGACATTGTAGAACATACTTTTTTAAAAAGAGTAACGAATGGAGTTTCTTGCTCGTTCTTCTCCATTCGAATCTACGTTTTGGAATGAGCACCTAGCTTCACCTAGCTTCACTGACGGATTGACTGACAGACTATTATTTATTTTGTATTTGTTGACGTTCCAAAAGTACCAAATTATGGTTTAATTGAAATAAATGATTTGACTTTGACTATTTAGATATACCACTGACAAACGGTGAAGGACAACATCTTGAGGAAAGCTGGGCTTATAATTTCTAATTATAAGTTTGAAATTGCGGACCCGCATTGAGAAAGTGCGGTGATTAATGCTCACACATTCTCCGTGTGAGAAGAGGCCTTAATCTTTCCTTAAGTCAGCAGTGACGCCAAGCCAAGCCTTTGACGCGATGATGCGATACGCAAAGTTACGCTTAATTTTCTTCACAAAGGTATGAATTTGCTTAACTTTTACATACCTTCAAAGAGTCGACGTTCAGAGCAAACGGCCCGATATTTATAAACTGAGGTAGTCTCCATATTAGGTCTTGTTTCGCATCATAGTGTATTTGGACTTCATCTTTTGTCTCAGAAGCGGAATGTTTCTCAGCACGAAAGTTTCTATAATAATAATATTTTTTATTCTTTTTACCATTTATAATAAGACCAACTCCTGGGCCTACCATCTCTTAACTAAGAGTAACTGTGTGAGAGGACAAACTAAACCATTACTTTTAACTATAGTGGACATTCAGAGGCCTTAGTACGAGTTTCTTTTTCGGTTAAAGTAATCAAAACGGGACGGTATTCTGTGCTCTGATTGGTTGGTTCATTAAAGCCGGCCTATACTACTGGTAGCAGGTAGCAGACTAGTAGCAGGAGACACAGGACATAACATAGATACAGGACATAACATAGATACAGGAGTAGTAGTACTTACTCCACATACTCTTCAATGTTCAACATGTATATTTCTCTATAACACGCATACTGTCTCATGTACGCTTTGAGGGGAATAATGGATTTCCTGTACGCCTTCAGCAATCTTTCTCGAGTCTCCACCACGTTTGGCTCCATCAAACCTGACAATACTCAAGAAGCTGATGAATAAAGTACCTTACGTACTTTCTTGTCATATTTTAACTCAAAATTATTAAAAATAATAAGTAATCTCTTAAGACTGTCTCGTTGGTCGAGTGGTCGCGAGTGCGACTACCGGGCAAGAGGTCTCGGGTTCGATTCCCGGGTCGGGCAAAGTATTACTGAGTTTTTAAAAAATTCTCAGTAGTAGCACGGAGTCTGGAAATGTGCCCGGTATATAGGCTCACCCCTATTACATGGGACTCATAACATAAATAGTGAAAAGTGGGTGTTACTTCTGCCTACCCCTTCGGGGATGAAAGGCGTGATGTTATGTAATCTCTTAAGCTTTTGGTACACTTGGGCGCAAAAAAGCGGAGCCACTAGAGATCTTTTTTCATTTTATCGATCTATCAGTAACTTACAAAAAAATCCTTTTACAACAAAATGCTCTCGTTTTAAACGTAACTAAATTTCCTTTTGTCGTGTCGTGGTGGCTCGACGGTTAAGACACCTACTTCTCATGCATGAGGGTGCGGGTTAGAAACCTACCAACGGCAAGTGCCAATATCACGTTTTCCGAGTTGCATGTACTTTCTAAGATTATTCAGACACCACTGACAAATTGTGCAGGAAAACATCGTGAGGAAACCTGGGCTTATAATTCCTAATTATAAGTTTGAAATCGCCAACCCGCATTGAGCAAGCGTGGTGATTAATGCTCAAACCTTCTACGTGTGAGACGAAGGGATGAGGACTTTGTTCAGCAGTGGGCCTTTATAGGCTGTGGATGTGAATTATCTTTCACACGACATACGTTACCAATAAATAAAATACTTGTATTAGAAAATAAAAAGGAGAGTGGCTGCGTTTCTTTGGTTACGTCATCTTCACACCACTTACCAATAGACGTGAGGAACAGCTCCTTATCGAAGACCAGACCGGTCATGATCATAGGATGTACTTGTGCAATGAAATGGCAGCGGTACAACATCTCACGGAACAGTCTTTGAATAACAATCTGTGAACAACTGTACTGATAAATAAAAGTGAACAAATATAATTAACTAGTTACTTTTCCACTACTACTTCTATGGATCGTAGCGTGTTGTATATAGTTTATAACCTTCCTGGATAAATGGACTATCCAACACAAGAACAGACAAACAGTTACAATTACCCCCCCCCCCCTCCCACCAGTTTCGCGAATCCCCGAATCCTCCACAATCCTCAAATTCCCAATTCCCAACTTTTAAAATAGGCAAATTCATTAACTAAATGTTGAGCTGTTGGTAAATATGGATATCATTTTATTAAAGAAGATAATTTTAAAGTAAATAAGGATTTGATTAATTGATTAATTTGATTCTCAAATAATAATGCTAATCTATATTAATCTATATTAGCATTAGTTAAAACATGTAAATATTCTATAATGATTCTTTTGGAATTTTTGGTCGATAGTATTTAAAATAACTTAAGTAGAAAATTATCTTACCTCAAATTGAGCTGGATCCGTGGTATAATAAGGTCCGTCCACAGACATCATAAGATGGAAGTAGAAGAGGGTAGTAGTGGGAGAGCGGAAGGGGGAATTGATGAGGTCTTTAGAGTCCCATTCGTAGTCATCTTCACAGATATAGGTGCACAGGCATGGAGTCTCCAACATATTCAGATACATAGCCATCGACTGTTCTATGCAGTAGCGAAGAGCATACTGACAAAAACAAAGTCATTATTTACTACTGTCCAATTTTGAAACCGTTCCACATAACCCTTAAAAGTTTTCATAAAGTACTTTTCAAGTACATATTATCAACAGTCTGTGGGAGTTCATAGTTCAGACTGAACTATAGGCCTGTTCTACAACAGAGGAGTTTTCCAAACATAATATCTACATTTAGCAAAAGGGTTTCTTAATTAAGATCTTTATATACATCAACAGCCCGTAACTGCCCACTGTTGAGCAAAGCCTCTTCTCACACGGAGAAGGTTTGAGCATTAACCACCACACCACGCTTGCTCAATGCAGTTGGCGATTTCAAACATGTAACTAGAAATTGTATGCCCAGGTTTCCTCACGATGTTTTCCTCCACCGTTTGTCAGTGGTGTCTAAATAATCTTAGAAAGTAAGTACATATAACTCGGAAAAAGTCACATTGGTATTTGCCGTTGGTAGGTTTCGAAAACGCACCCTCATGCATGAGAAGCGGGCGTCTTACACCGCCGGGCGAATTGTCATGGTTCATATGCAAACTTACCTGCATTCTAAACCTTACAAGTTGCATGAATCTGCACAGCTTACTGACTCCATAGAACTCCCATTTTTTTTCGTATATGTTGAACCATCTGTTTAAAAGGTATTATGTTAATTTAAAGATAGGAATCAGTACACTAACTAATCTCATTATCTATTTTAGTACAGCAATCAACGAACTAATGAACTCTCTTAAGATACTGTTACACATGCCCTCTCCTGTCGATTCGCAAACACGCCTTGAAATAAGCTTGCTAATTTTGAGCAACAATCCGACTAAGTGACAAGAGTTCACTCAATCGAAGCATACTTTCATGAACAATGACGCATGCTGCACCTTCAATTTGGATCTAAATGAGACTACGAAAGTTCTCATGAACTTTCATAATCATTACTTCTCAGTCATATCATCATCATCAATTAGGTACACCTAAGTCTAGTCTAGGGTTAACGAAGGAAAATACTTACTTAAGATCATTTGAACAAAGAATGCATGATACGAGAAAAAGCAGGCCTCAAGTTACAAGTTACTTAGATAAAAAAATGTGCAAAGAAAGGAATTTGATTATAATGACATTACCCTTTTCCGACATCTCGGAACGACATCCTTATAGCATGTGCGGTCTGATTCAGCCAGGATATGTTGAGATATTTTAACATCTGAAAACAATGAAGATGTTTTTATAAACACCACCGTTTCTCTCGCTTCGATTTTGGTACAGAAGCGAGAGGGATATACTAAACACTCGCTGCTCGACTAAAATACTAGTTAGCATAGTGCGAATAAGGCATTATGAGCAGCGCGGTCACGGCGATGTCGCGCAGCCTAGTTATGCTAGTAGCTGGTCTCAGTATATTCACGTGAGTTTTTTTTTAAGGGGGAAGAATCATCGATTGAATTCTCCCGCCTGGGTGGGGCGGTAGGGAGTGTAAGACTCTTACTGACTAAAAACCACCCCGTTCCTACTCCTGCACTTCGAGCCGAAGCCCCGGTAACCCGTTAAGCTCTATGCGGCTCCGTATCGGCATCAGCCCTGCGCCACACGCTCGTGTTTGAAACCAATCTCAATGTCAATGCAATTTCAATCCAATAAAATCTTAATAATGATTCAATGTCAAAACTATACAACCAAAATCGTAGCTGTTGAAATAGCATTCAGAGTAGGGAATATAAAGCCAAACTCAATACCATGTAGTTTATTCAGTATCCACGCAATACGGATACAATGGGCGCTAGTGTTGCAACTTGAGTTGCAATGAAATTTCACAATACCAATGTCGATCGATCGGAATTGGATTCAAGAGTAGTCGGGTTACTCATGCTCACCGTCACGCCTCTGGTGTTCCAGGTGTCCATAGCGACGCCGATTGCTTACCATCAGGTGATCCGTCTCCTCGTTTACCGGCTTATACTATACAAAAAAATGAACTCTCCATATAACTGCAAGCATGCAGTGTTCGGTGAAACATTTACAAAGTTACCATTGAGGTGCAGTGCTGTTGTGCCGCGTCAAATTCAGCTAAACTGGCGTTTCTGCCATAGTTCGCTGTGAAGAACAACATCGATTCAACCTGCAATCAAATGTTATTTTTTACTATTACATTTTATACTTAGGTACCCAGTATCCTACTAATATAATAAAAGCGAAAGTTAGTACGTTTGTTTCTTACTCCTTCACGTCCAAACGGTTGAAGGGATCCAGATGAAATTTGGAACAGAGGTAGATAATGATCTGGGCAATTTTGTATCCCACGGACGCGGGCGAAGCCGCTGGCAGAATCTAGTATTCAATATACAAACTACAACTCCCAAATACTGAATCTTATGATAAAAAGTCGAACCGTCAAACTGTAGTACTATATTTAGAAAGTAAGAAAACTTTTATTTCACACGCCAAAACAGGTGAAACGTACAGATTTTACACATCTTTAGATCTTCTTTATATATATAACTAGCGACCCGCCCCGGCTTCGCACGGGTGCAATACGCATGTATTATACATACAAACCTTCCTTAAGAATCACTCTATCTATTAAAAAAAACCGCATCAAAATCCGTTGCGTAGTTTTAAAGATCTAAGCATACATACGGACATACAGCGAAAGCGACTTTGTTTTATACTATGTATTGATTCTTCTGTGTGTATGTCACTGAACTTCTCTCAAACGACTGGACCGATTTTGATGAAATTTTTTGTGTGTTCAAGGGATATCCCCTTGAGGAATCCCCCCTCTTGGGAATGGTTTAGATTCACAAATCAGCCCGGCAGATGGCGCTGCAGTCGATGTTTAGGTTATTTATCCTAAACAGCTGAACTAATTTGAATGAATTTTTGTTTATACATTCAAGTGGACATGCAGGACAACGTCTGTTGGGTCCGATAGTATATATATTTAAATGAAACCCGTTTCCCGTTGTCACGCCATAACTTGAAAACGGGTAGACCAATTTGGTTGATTTTTTTTTTGTTGTTTTTGTTATTGTCTGGAAAAGGTTCTTATGACAGAAAAAAATCTGGGAGAAAACGGGAATGCGCGTACGAAGTCGCGGGCAGAAGGTATGAGTTTATAAATATCTACTAATGTCCCAAGTCTGCGGTGAAATGGGACCAGTTCAGCATTATGAGTCCCATGTAATAGGGGTGAGCCTATTGTCATATACCGGGCACAATTCCAGACCCCGTGCTACTGCTGAGATTTTTTTAAAACCCAGTTATACTTTACCCGACTCGGGAATCCAACCCGAGTCCCCTTGCCCGGCAGTCGCACTTGCGACCAGTATATCATACTATATATGTGTAACGTACCTACATAACATTCATACATTAACTTTTCAATTAAGTATTATATTTGACTAGATTTACAGGTATAAATCCTCCTACCTTTAGACACTCATCGACGACCAGATGTATGCAAGACACTGACTCCGTTAGAACATACAACGAATACCACTGGTTATATTTCAGTCGACCGAAGAAATCTTCCATTACACATGGAAGCCTCCCTGAAATGATGTGCTATGATATACACATTTTCTTTCCTTCTTTCTTTTCTTTAGTCATACATCCAACCCTGCTGGACTATTAGCCACATCTATATCAACTAGCTACTTCCGCGCGGTTACAGTCGCTCTGATCGGCGCCTATAAATGTAGCGTATTTTATAGCCTATAGCCTTCCTTGATAAATGGGCTATTCAACACAGAAAGAATTTTTCAAATCAGACCTGTAGTTTCGGAGATTAACGCGTTCAAACAAACAAACAAAAAAGCAAACTCTTCAGCTTTATAATATTAGTATAGATGAGGTTTGCCAATCTTTACATAGGCGAGTTGAAGAGGGGTCAGAAAACGCTGTTGCCCAATCAGATCCTTGCGAGAAAAGTAGGAGGGTAAAGGCAATATACTTCTACTTCATCGTACCCACACGATTGTCACGCATAGGTATCTACGAGCACTGATTTTCTGCTACTTCCAGCATTTTTTTTTTAATTGATAGAAGACAATCCTCACGACACAGGGAATCCTAGTGTGGGGTCCAGAGCCATAAAATATGTAATTTGAAACTTTTTGTAAATAAACATATTTTTTATTAAAAAAAAGTCCTAAGGTTCAATGTACGCTGTGGAATGGAATGAAAGCAACTTTTTTGCGAACTATACATAGATAACATTATGAACTGCACAATCATATCATCGTTTACCACCAGGCGAAATAGTGGCCAAACGTCACTCCCATCTAATATAAAAAATAAATAAATAAATAATAATACACAAATTAAATACGAGTCAAAAATTTTGATTTGCGTCTTCCGTGGAATCCTCGCGCATTCTGGGGTATTATTGAATTTGTGTCTTATACGTGCTATGAACCTAACGGGTAACCGGGGCTCCAGCTCGACGTGCAGGAGAAGGAACGGGGTGGTTTTTAGTCAGTAAGTGTCTGACACCCCCTCCCGCCTCACCCAGGCGGGAGCAGTCATTCAATGATTTTCCCCCTTAAAAAAAAATACGTGCTATGTACAAATTCATTGCAAAAAGTCACTTTCATTAAACTCTGGTGGTGTAAATTAAGACCAAAACCTTACTTAAGTATTAAAAAGTTTACCATATAATGGCACGGGAGCCACATAGTCTGGTGTCGGTACATCTATGAAATTGTACAAATCTCTGTATTTCTGTATAGTATATATTATCTTCATCTTTCCTTCCATCTTTGTGTAGAGAAGTTCCACCTGAAATATTCGTCTTGCGGATAAGACATATTAATGTTCCTTCGATATAACTTCGTCCTTAAAGAACTTCCAGTGAGAGAGCTATGCTTCGGCTCAAACAGGCCATCTCGACCGGAGTGATACCACGGCCCCACAGAAAAATGACGTGTAACCGTCCTTGTAGTCCATGATAAATACCTATATTGAACAATTTATCTTACCTCATGTTTGAGATAATTCATATGTTCTTCGTCTACTTCCTTCACCTGCCGATGAATGACTACCATTTTTATTATTTTAGGCATATGTTGCCGCGGTATGTTAGGCAGTCCTTCGAGTAATAAGCAGTCAAGGTACAAGTAGAATCTACGAAAGGATTTTTTAAGTAATATTTAAATACGCTCATAACTATCAACTCTAGTAATATCAAATTTAAAAAGTCCGTGTTCTTTGGTGCTTGTCTCTATTTAATAGTATATTATTATTAAAGGCTTACCTAAGATTATTCTCAACCTCCTTTCTAAGATCAACAGCAAATTTGACGCGTTGGGCAAACGTCTCCGGATCGTCCGCTTTGAACATGAGCCGTACACGAGGAATCCTAATAAATAAATTATATAGACACATCATCATTGTCCGACAAGTGCCCACTGCCCACTGCTCACCAAAAGTCTGTGAGTGTGCGTGACTATGTGTCGCAGTAAGATAGAAAAAGCCATAATATATAGTTATATCCCTAGGGAAATAATTATATACCTGACATAGTCATACGAAAGCTTTTTTTTTAATCTAAATGTAATTAATACGGAGTTTTTACCCATGAGGATACGCCAACCCCATCGTACCTAATACTACCTACAACCATTATATAAACATAACCTTAAAATAACCTATGAATGTTCCTAATTAACTTAGTCTTAATCAACGAAATACATCAACTGACACAATCGTTTTGCTAATTTAAAATTTGGCTGAGCTAAAATAGATTGTATCAATCCCACCTCTTGCATATTTAGCTGGAATTCATTGACCAGTCACCAGATCGTGTCGTTGACTTTGATTCCTGACACAATCCATCAGTAGATGTTGAACGTCTTCTATAAAATTGCACTTCGTACAATTGGTTGAGTTTATTTTTTTCATTAGAAACCCAAATTTCGCTGATGGATAGTGTCCGGAACGTAATCGTAACAATAACTTAATATAATTTCTGCCTACCTTACTATTCTCAAACCAGGGAATCTGAGGAAGGTTACCTTGAATGGTCTTGTACCATATGCCTTTTTCTTTTGATGTCACTGTAAAATAATTTTGCCAAACATCGAAGCATTTCTGTTTAAACTCAGGTAAATATTCTAAATAATCAGGTGTATAATCAAGTTGCATTTCTTCCTTAGCAGCTAATTTCGACATACGGTCAGCTTCCTCATTCCCCATTAAACCTATGTGTGCTGGAACCCATTGCACCTTCACCTCTGTGTTATTTTTGCTAAAATTCAAAATATTTTTTAGGATGTCGTAGGCTGTCGATGTACCTCTGCTACAACCAGAGGCGCATCGAGCCAGGTGCAGTATATATAGCGCTCTAGCTGTCAGTAAAAATAACTATTTAGTTGTATTTATTCCTCACTGTGTAAATAGTTGCTTGATGAATTGCAATGAGTTCAAGCGTCATTATAGATACATTTGAGATAACTTTAAAACCTTGTTTGTAATTACAGCTTTGATCATAAAAACCTGCGCCCAAGCCATCAGCTCCCTTGGAACCGTCAGAGTATAATTTATGCCAGCCCTCATACTTCACATATAATTCTCTCAGGACATTGTTCATTAGGACGTTAGGCTCATATTTAGATTTTGCCAAGGATATAAATTCTAGGTTATATTTTAAGTATTTCTGAAAACCAACAGCTGACAACCAGATTTCAAATCTAAACATTTTAAGAGTGTCCATTGATATACAAACGATTTGATTCGCATCCCGAAAGGATTGTGCAAGTAGGGGTTTATTTTTATTAGTCCAATACCTGTTGTTACGTATTAAGCTACCTATTTATTTCGGCTATTAATTTATTAGTACTGTTCATCGACTTTGATCTGTTTTTATTTAAATATTTATATGCTAGATATACGAAAGCTATTCATTACTATCTCACTAGAAATCATAACTACATAGTATAATAAAACAAAGTCACTATCCGCCGTCTGTCTGTCGCAACGGTTACGGGATAAGAAACTCTGCGCTCCGTCTTATGAAATCTTATTTAGAAGAAAGACAGTTAAAGGTTCATGTTAACGGTATTAACTCACAGGGCTCTGGGATGAATATGGGCGTTCCTCAAGGTTCAATATTGGGTCCCTTTCTCTTTTTAGTCTATGTGAATGATTTGCCATTTATATTTAAAAATGAACCAAGAATGGTGCTTTTTGCAGATGATACATCATTAATTTTTAAAGTAGATCGACGTACAAATAATCTTGACGACGTAAACAGCTCCATTCTTCAAGTGCATAATTGGTTTACCATTAATAATCTAGCACTTAATGAAAAAAAAACAAAATGTATTAAATTCAGTTTACCAAACGTGCGTAGTAACGATTGTGATATTGTTTTGAACGGTCAAAAGTTAGAATTTGTCGACGAGACAGTATTTTTAGGCATTACGTTAGACAATAGGCTACAATGGGGTCCGCATATAAAGGCGCTTTCGGGGAGATTGAGCTCAGCTGCTTTTGCAGTTAGACAGATTAGACAGCTCACGGACGTGGATACAGCTAGGCTTGTCTATTTTAGTTATTTCCACAGCATTATGTCGTACGGCATTTTGTTGTGGGGTCGAGCTGCAGAAATAGAATCAATATTTATTCTGCAAAAGCGGGCTATCCGAGCAATATATAACTTACGCCGTTGCGAATCGTTGAGAGAATTGTTTAAAACGATAAATATTTTAACGGTGCCCTGTCAATATATATATGAAAATATAATGTATGTAAGGAAAAATAGGCAATTGTTTGAAAAAAGAAGCGATAGACACAATTTTAATACTAGAGGCAAAAATAAGTTAGCTATACCGCAATTCAGACTGTCCAAAGTACAGAAATCCTTTATGGGGTTAGGTATTAAATGCTATAATAAAATACCAAATAGCATACTAGATCTCAATGAAAGTAAATTTAAAACATATATTAAGCGCGAATTATGTAATCAAGCTTACTACACACTGACAGATTATCTTGAAGATAAGAATGCTTGGCAGCATGTTGGTTCGGCTCCACTGGACAATACTCAAATGTAGTCAGTAGTTAAATTCCAATAGTAGGTAATATAATACATAATTTAATACTTTAATTCTAATGTAGACAATCTAGTTTCCTTATGGCATCGAGCATTTCTTTCTTTATTGAAACAAAGAGTTTCCTTTTTCTTGTATAGAAGCACTATTTCTATGGATTGTCAGTATGCATATGTGAGCACCATGTTGGACTTAAGATCTTTATTATTTTTATTTTTATTTTAGTAAGTTATTAGTATAATGCGTCAAGCGTGTCTTTGCATTGTTCTTACATATGCGTACAGTATTGAAATATGTATCAGAGACATTGTAGAACATACTTTTTTAAAAGAGTAACGAATGGAGTTTCTTGCTCGTTCTTCTCCATTCGAATCTACGTTTTGGAATGAGCACCTAGCTTCACCTAGCTTCACTGACGGACTGACTGACAGACTATTATTTATTTTGTATTTGTTGACGTTTCAAAAGTACCAAACTATGGTTTAATTGAAATAAATGCTTTGACTTTGACTTTGCAACGGATTTTGATGCGGTTTTTTTGAATAGATAGTGTGATTCTTAAGGAAGGTTTAAACTGTCAAACACCAAGCGGTCACCGGTGACCGCAACCTATTGTTCTATAATTGTGTCTATAACGACGGTACTCGACATGTATAATACATGCATATTGCACCCGTGCGAAGCCGGGGCGAGTGATATATTACTAGACCGATTTTTCAATCATCAGTTAATTCTTAACTGTACAATAAAATTGACATTTGACAGTTTCTAGTATGGAAGAATTGTCGAATATTCAAAGTTATTCCCAAGTAAAATTTAACTAGCATTGGAAAAATTGGCCCTTAGTTTAGTGAAATAGCTTTCCGAGTGTGTGGTGGCTAGCCGCTACTAAAAGATGTGCCTGGAAGAAGCATTCAGTGCTATGTAATTCTAGATGTCATAATTCATCTTGTCTACACAAAAATTAAAAAATGTTTTTAAAGAAACCAAGACCTCAACTTAGTTGATAAGAAATAATAGGTCTTTACCTATGAAATAGCTTAAAAAATTAGTCTGAAAAATGTAAGCATTTTTCATGTTTGTTTTATTTGTATTAATTGAAGTAATCCATGCAATGAATGCATCTTTGCCAATGCAGTGGCAGTTTATTCTTATATCCTTCTCTTTTTTATGGGATAAGCCAGTAAACAAGCAGACGGATCACCTGATGGTAAACAAATTCTGGCTAAAGTATTCTGTAGGTGCAAGTTCTATAACTATATTACGGCTTTATCTATCTTAATGCGACATATTATGTAATTAGTCACGTTAGACTAAGTTTTAAACACACACACTTGCTTGGGACCTTTTGCTTCATAATCACACTTGCAACTAGTAGACCAATAAGGTATGATTTTGAGAGAACTCATGTCCCATCTGAACCATTTCAGATCACCCCTGAACCAAGTAAAGAAAATCGATCATCATCATCATCATCAACAGCCGGAAGACGTCCACTGCTGGACAAGGGCCTCCCCCTTAGCCCTCCATGTCAAATGACAACTGGCCACCCGCATCCACTGGCTCGATAAAAGTAATAAAATACCAGCATATCAACCCAGGTACTCCAATCTGTAAAATTTATTCATTGGATTTTCAACTTTATGCAATAAATTTGAACACATAAAGAGTAATGTGACAGAAAAGGTTGACGTGTTGGCCACCATTCCCTGACAGTAATGTATTACAGAATTACTTACATATAGTGCCTCTTGGTACCATCTAGAGCCATTACTTCCCATTTATCCGTATTTTCAACATATTTTAAAGCAGCAACATTAGTCCACTACAAAATGTACAATAAAATTAGTTCATTAATCATCATCATTACCATTTCAGCCACAAAACTGTTTACAGTTGAACATAGGCCTCCCCAAAAGACTTTCAGATAGGCCAGCTGGAAGCGTCCTACTATCATGCGTCCATAATCTTACACCTGTCTCCTGTCCAACTTTCAGTTCACTACTAACATAATAAAACCTAATCCTTAATACTTAACAAAATAAAACCTGAAGTTACGTCTTAATTCCATGAAAGGGTAGACACAGTGTACTATAAATACAAACACCGTTTACCATTCTTATGGTATACTAGATTGTTTTCTAAGTATTTTATAATATGGGCAAAATTGTATAAAACAACACAAAAATAATTATTGATTCCGAAGATTTCTTCAGCTCTATAAAACAGTAAATGAGTATAACATTAGATAAGCAATACTAACCTCATACAACGTATTTAGTGTCTGCATCAAGTCAGCACTATTTTTGGCGGATTTCGTATCAGCTTTGGGAATAAAAGCTAAACCTGGACAGGGATACTGTTCCCCTTCAATCATACCCAAAGACATCCATTCCTCAGGAATACTAGAAAACAACCATCATTAATATCATCATCATCAGTCAGTAATTATCCACTGTTGAGTAAAGTATTACACATGAAAATTGTATGAGCATATATATTGAGCATTAACTTTTACTTCGAACGAAACAAAACACTTTCACTAAGTTTTAGTTTTGATTTTGAGTATTTGAGCGCCAAAATGAGTGCCAGCTGTCAAGTCAAGGTCAAGGTCAACTTCAAATGCCCACAGACAAAAATTGACATATCGGATGCTGCTGTGTTGCCAGTAACAAAGAAAAGATTAAAAATATGTACAAGAAATAACTAAAGCAGAATAATTTATCTAAACGTATCCTAGTTTTTTAGTTATTTTGTGTCATTGACGTGGGACATATTGTGTCCCCGTGGTCATCAAAGAGTTCACCGCGTTTGTTCAATAATTTAAAATTACAAGTCCAAGTTATTTTTAGCGATATTTCTATAAATAGATCTATGCCTCGTGTCGGCTCGACCCCCGCGCCTCCCTCCATACATATAATATGAACGGCCGGTAACAATGAGTGTAAACAACAGTGCTTACCATTTATCCATCTGTTCGTTTTCGTTTTCCTATTTCATTGAAAAGTTCATACAGAGTTGAAGTAGTAACTCACCGGCAATCAAAATCGGTGTTGTCAAATATTTCCAAATCTAACTTAGGAAAGTGACTATAAAGGCCATAATGTTGCATATCATTAATCTTGAACTCTTCGACAGGTAACAACCAATATGGTTGTATGCCTAAATCACGGAGCATTTTCTGTAATATACCATAATTAAATAGTTCAAAATAAAAGTGTTCTTTTAGATCGGTCATTTGATGCAAAAATGTCATACACTTTTAGTAAATTTTATTGTGTCATGTTTCTCAAAAGAAAACAGCACCCTTAGGTATTAAATTATAGTTTTCTGTGTTGTGTGATATGTGATGTGTGATGCTTATGCATTTGCACACCCAAGTATAGGTAGAAACATTACAATAATTTTTAGATCACACAAATAAATAATGTTCCGAGCAGAAATGGGCCCCACGGCACGTTTAACTAAAATAAAAAGACAAAATGCACTACTAGAGTTTTTGAACTTATCGACAAGCAACAGTAACAGGTAAAAAACATTAACTATACAGTCACTTTAAAGTCAAAGAATGTATTAAGGGGATTTTGAAATCTAAAACTTGAAATGGTAAGAATAATTACACAAACCTTCATATTTGCTGCTAGAAACTTTCTCCTCAATCTCTCGATCTTGACCAATCGCGGAAGTTCTTTAGGCAAAACAATGCTAAGAAACTGCAGTTTAGGTACAAATGTCTCAAATGGAAATTGCTGGAAAGATGTAGGAGTATGTATGTAGCTAATAAAACTGTAAAGATATGCTAATTGATAGGTCACGGTCAGATTATGTGTATATTCTATCTATAACTAATACGTCTTTTTATTTCTCGTCAATCCTTTACCTTTTACCTCCGTAAAAATCACATTTAACCTCGATTAAAACTACTAGGACTAGAGATGGAATTTTATGTCAAAGACTAAGTACGTTAATACACCTTACCAGCTTTCACCTGCGGCTTTGCACGTGTTAATTATACATAATATGAATCTTCACCTTGAATTGAATCCACTCTATGTGTTAAAAAACCCGTATCAAATCCTACTTGAGATCTAAGCATACATTTTATAGTTACTTTATTTTACGTGGTTTTTATTAGCAGACCAATCAATGGTATTAGTGAGTTTTAAAGCTAGGTACTAACAATGCTTTCATCTTCTCTGTAAGTCGTCCAGCGACCCGGCGGCAGAAGAAGTTTTGCTCTTTGTGGTTTCGGCAAAGAAACCAGCATAGGAGCTAGTCTATCAGTTTTTGCCTGAAAATTAAGCCTCGAGGTTATTTGGTAGGTTAAAATTAAGGCTACAACAGCTTGCAAGTAATCTGATACCTATTAACGATGGATATTTAGTATGATCTCAATATAAAATCTTCGGATTGAGATAGATTTCGCCATTACTTGCTTAATATTTTGGATTAAGATCGCTTATTAGTTTTGGCCGCTCTAACACTTCCTCACACCTCAACCAGGATGGAAGGAATCATTGAGTAACACATATTTTACGAAATAAAAGTGTGTACTTAAAGTTTAGAGGTGTGCTTGTGTTCTTGAAAGTACGTATATATAGTAAGTAAGCCATTATTAATAGAGCTATTAACTCGTCGAGTACCATCGATAAAGACACAATTATAGAACAATAGGTTGCGGTCACCGGTGACCGCGCGGTGTTTGACAGTTAAATAAGTCAGGTGATAGAAACCAGCCCGTTCAAACACCATTTTCAAGCCAGAGCCCTAGTAACTTGCGTTTCTTTGCAGTCTCGGTCAGATTATATAGGTACCTACATCTTTTACTTAAGTGGGGTAAAACATCCAATGAAATGACTTCTTCCGCCTTCAGTGAGGCGGGACGAACTGTAGGTATCACGCCGACTATAAACCACCCTATTCAACTCCTGCTAAGAGCCGGAGCCGCCGTAACTCCGTGCGTTTCTCTGCAACCCCACTCAGAGTAATTACCCACCTGCAGTATCAATTTCATTCGTTTCTTTGTACAAATGTCCTTAGTAGGATCATCTTTAGTCAAATCTGATACAAGTTCAGAATAATAGCCCCTTTGAGGGATAGCATCCCTCGATTTGTTATCATAAACCAAATCATGTTGCTCTATCTTCTTCCTTTTACAATACATTTTTATTTAAAATATATTGAAAATTGAATATACACTTTGACGTTACGTAAGTGCCATAAATCCAACATCAACACGACGGGTAATTATTTTTTTATCAAGTAGGTAGGCACCATGTAGGTACTGATTCCATAAATATACCCTACTTACTTAACAAACTCTTTGGTACTGGAGCTGGAGTACTGGCATATACCATTGGCCCTACGATTACATGTCCACTGCGGGTAACCCGTAATTCGACAAACTTATATTTGCGTTTGGTAAAGTAATTGTGTATAGGAATCGAGCCGCACAATTAAGTTTGTGTTTTAGTGTATAATACTTTTTTGGGATAAAAAGTACCCAGTGTGACGCCTAGGACATTAAAGTATAATTATATCAAGTTTCATCGTAATCTGACGGGTAGTTTTTGCATGATTCGTAGACATGTAGACAGACATACAACATTTTTAATCCCTTTTTTTGGGTGTCTATTTATCTAATAACACGGCTACTATTTATTTTTTTATATTTTCAATATACAGAATTTACACATCTACCCTCATAGTAATAAAAATGGTTTAGAGTAAGATTAAATGGTAAGTGGTGATTAAATAATTTAATCTTACTAACCTTAACTTACTAATTTGATTATTCTGAACCTAAGTTCAGAATAGTCAAATTCTGATTATTCTTATTCTGATTATTCGGTTCATTTATTCAAATTCGGTATTAATATAGAGGTATAATGAGTAAAGTAGGACTAAATAATTCAACGTTACTCTGAGAGTGATGCTGCTTTGTGGGAAGTACTTACCTTAAACGTTAATCCATGGTGCCCTATGGTTTAGCGAGGGTGTAAGCTTGGATTAGTTGTATATTTTAACATTTTGTCGATACTTATTTTTTTTGTATATAATGACAAGAGGTTCCGATACAGTTTTGTTGGCCTATGCCGATTGGTAATAGGTAACGGCATTATTAGATGAAACCTATTTAAATATATATTATATAACTTATCTTCTTAGCCTTTATAACGTATTTAGGTACGAGATTAGCTGTATCCCGTCTTCTTCTACAAGGCGTATTATAATGATTTCTGGTAAATATTAAGTTTTTGAATAAATCTTTATTGGCGATGCAAAGATTCTAACTAGCGCCTCTAGGGTCAAAATTGTGAAGCTATCTAAGAACGACACTGATAGTTTTCGTCTCTGAAAAAAATATTTTTTAAATATAAATCATTTTTATGTGGTCTCTTCCAGATAAATAATTAAGTAAATTACAAAATTAATCAAATGTAATAATAATTGGACGTAGTTAAACGGAAAGGATCCACCCCACATAGACTTAGTTTTGAGATATTCAAGTTTTAAGTTCAGATCGTGTTTCGTCTTTGATTCTCTACTTTAACTTTCTGGTGTTGGTTTTAAGTAAAGGATAAACAGATACTTTTTAATTGTATTAATGTAAAGTACTTTAACGACTTTATGACAAATTTTTCGAGATAATTACAAAATACGAGGATGGATCCTTATCATTAAAATACTATTTTAAAAGCCCAGTATAATAAACACATTAAGCCTTAAGGATTCAAGTTTTAAAATATAACAAAAACACTGAAACTTATAAGGAATTATGACAGATTTGTATGTTTTAAAAAATAAAACTTCATTATAGTCAAATATATCTTTAATTTTTAATCACTGCCATGTCACTCCAAACCTTAAATTACTAGCTTAGTAAGTATGTAGATCTTAGATCAAAACACTAAAATAATAAATATATTTATATATATATTTATTATAAATTCAAATATAACTTCCAAATTAAGTAAATTCTATATTTTTTGCTGTAACTTAATTATCATTTTCATATTCAATTGAAAAATCAATCCCATCCCCGTAACCATCAACATCATCAATAACATTTTTATTGCCTGTAAGTGATTTATAAAAAGATAAGCAATCTTTTGGTATTAAATCAAACATTGATTTAAGGTCATCCAATTTTGCTTCCGGAATCTCTTTACCATTTGGCCATAATAAAATTAAATCATTTTCTAAAATTTCTAAAGTTTTGCCTTTAACTCTCTTTTCTATGTTTAACTCCTGAAACTCTTCACTCTCTGTAGTCTTCATATATATGGAGTATGGTTTTTCTTTAATGATTTGTATTTCTTTGGTTTTTAGCCAGTTGACTTTATCCTTAGTTATAAAAAGTTTTCTGTTTACTATCTTTTTTTCTATTTTATTGGTACTTAGAAAGTCGTCTGACTTCATTCTGTAAACTTGTAATGGTTTCTTTTTCTTGCAGCTTTTGATAACATTCAAATACTCTTCAGCCGTATAAATTCTGTCATGATATTTGAGCTGACTTTCAATTTTAGAAAAATCTGTATCATTCGGGAGAAACGTGTCGCCTGATTCCAGATACTTTA